TACTTTTGACACCTACAGCTCAGGGTTTTGTAATATATAATTATTTAGACCAACACACCAATAAGGTGAAAAATGGGAATGAGATATATCTCAATATAGCAGCAGGGCAAAGTTGGATCTCAAAAGGCAAGTCTGTTGCCATCTCCAATCGCTTTTTGAAGAATTCTTACAGTATAAGGCTGATGCTTAAACATGGTGGAGACAATTTAGAGTTTAGCATGGTAAATGGACTCATCTATTTGCATATACAGATACGAAGATTGCAGTTCATAGCCTAATTATCAACCTATAGCTCCTTTACCTACTCCAGCAGCATAAAGAAAGGAAAAATGTGGTTTTTCAACATTGCATTAATAAAGATTTGGAGACAGGATATATCTAAATGCGCACCTTCCAATCAGAACAGAAATATTTAGGCAACATTGTTGCTGTCTCATGTTAAATTACTCATATTGATATAAGGAGCAAAAAAAAATAATATAGGGGAAGGTATTAAAAGCATAAAAATGGTTCCTCTCTCAAAGAAATCTTTCTTCCTTTTTAATAACCAGTTCCCCCCCCCCCAAAAAAAAACTAACAACCCACTAAGCCAGAACAATTTCTTCTAACACAACTGATTTGCAGAAAGATTTAACAAAACTGATACAGGGGACTAATGCAATTACCTAACTCAGCAAAAGGAAATAGTTTTGTCTTACCTGGCAACTGTACCTGACCAATTAAATGACTGTAGATCTAACTATAATAGTAAGTTCTAAAATCTAGAATTTCAATTTATGCCTTCCGGCTTTTTTATGACCCTTAGAGAAAAATGGGATAGACAAGAGATCAAATTTGTTATACATTAACAGGAAATCTTCCTAACCAAGTTACATTTTTCTTCCCTGTTTTTTGCACATTTATGATACTACAAGATTAGAGGCTTTATCAATAATGCTTCCTTGAAAATAAAAATGTGAGAACACAATCATGGATTAAAAATGTTCATGTGCATCTCTTGAAGCTTAGATATATCTAGATGCTGAAAAGATTACTTAATTTATATACAGCATTTCTCCACAGAAAATAAATACACTGGACACATTTTTGTCCAATTAAGTGGGGTTTTTTGGGAGGAGGGGGAAAGACTGACTTCCTTAATGATGAAATTGTCTGATGTTTTTAAAATATTTTAAAAGTAAATGATCTATACAAAGCTGCTTCTTCTACTACTTCTGTATAGGCTTGTGATCAATTTCAAGCCGAAGTCCAGAATAACACAATGTAATTTACTACAGGAATGATTCCCTCCTTAGACACCAGAATTATACTTTTTCCTGAACACATGCCTCAACTTCCAGTATGCGAGCTTTTGTTTATTTTTCTACAAAGCACAATTGCTTGTGTCAATCAAAAATATAAAAAAATCAGCTTTTGTTTATTTTTCTACAAAGCACAATTGCTTGTGTCAATCAAAAATATAAAAAAATCAGGTAATAAAAAGCGAAGGATGAAAATAAAGGTGGGGTTTTTTTTAATGCTTTCAGAATAAAGCCTGAATCCATTGTAAGATTCCTACTACTCTACACAACTCAGCAACCTTTATAGAGAATGGACAAAGAACAAGGGAGTTATTTTAATTCAAATATAACAAATTGTTCTCCTCTGACAAAACAAGGAAAGGCAAAACTCCTTTGAAAGAGGAAACCAAAAAGTAGCAAAGTGCTTCTGCATCTCCTCACAAAGATGTTTGTACAGTCTTCTCGGCAGAGTGTCAGTCCCATTCCATTTCCAAAACAGGTAATAACTGTTAAGAAAGCCACTAATTCCCATGAGATTCATAGAGCTTTCTCTTATCCCTCTGTCACTTAGGTCAAAGAAAATCTAACCATTATGTAACGCTACATTAAATCTATTTGCCAGACATGGAAAAGGCCAAGTGTAAAAGCTAAAAGCATCAACCCTTCTTTCAAATCTTTAATTCTGTGAGGGGAAAAAAATCTGAATTCTAAAAGCTTCCTGCGTAAGAAATTCAGATAGACTGGTTTTAATGAACAAAAGTTCTGCACTAACCACCCAGAGGAACGAGATGAACCTCTCCATTAGGAAGAGAAGAAGATCTCAACTTAAGTTAGGCTACCAGACACGAATTCTTTAGGACACACATTTCTTCCTAATACACAATTCAATTCAAAGATTGTACGGCTTTTTGATGACAGCAGCCGGGGCGGGGGGGGGGGGCTTAGTTAATGAACTTGGCTAATCATTACATAGATTCAAAAAACAAAAAAACATAAAATGTGTGAAAAGTTAGTCAAGTTCTCTAAATATAAATTTAAATCTGGAACTTCACTTAATACTTACATATAAAATGTTGTTATGCACAAGGCAGTGACTTTTTTCAGTCAGATGATGGTGGCATGAAATTTTTTTTGTTGATTGTGGCATATACAATCTTCCTAATGTGATAGGCAAATTATTCCAGATTGCTGGTACTTCTAAATTTACACCATCAGACTACTACTTCTGCTTAATCCTCAAATGTCAGAATCTTTCTGTATATCCTGAATAAATCTTTCCCTGTTATATGTCTTTGGCAGGAGGAATTTAGGGGATGCATGATTTATTCAGATTAAAATTCCTTAGGTAGATTGACCTCTCATATTTGTTGAATTGAATGTATAAGTAGTTGCCCTTATTCACATAAAGTTTGGTAGTACTCTATTATTATAACATGAAAAAAAACACTCCTCATTGAATTGCAGACTCATCTTGTTACAAAACAGCCTAGTGGGAGAATCCAGGATTCCAAAATCCAACTTTTCTACTAGAATAGCCTGGTACTAGAATACCAAATGATAACTGCTACACTGCAGAAGCACAAATAATGTACAACTCCAAGATCTACTTGCATTACGACCACAATGTTCTAAATCTTCTACTAAGTTAAAGCACAATAAAAAATAACTGTGATTTAAAGTCTCAGTCTACAGTTCTCTTGCCTGTCAAGGAGTCCTGATTTGTTGTTAATTTGTTTTGCCAGAGATTTTTTTTCTAGTTCCTTATGGCCACAGGCACATTATGCATACTATTTTAAAGTCACAGTTGCTTTACAAAGTAAATCTTGTGAATGGCTTGAAAGATAAAATAAGGAAATAAATTATTATAGATACAATTATTAAAGAAAAAAGGATAAAAGAGGAATCCTCTTTCCTTAAAAGTATGCTTGTGATTTGCAAACCAAAGGAGATTGTACAGGAGAAAGGAACTAACACCATCTAAGAATCTAAACAAGTACAACACAGTCCTTGCTGTGAAGTCCTATATCAGAATCAGACTTAAGAAAATCTGAAATAGCTTCTCCCATCATAGGGTGGTGATCTCACAAATGCACACATTGTGTAACAGAGCACAATAAGCTTTCATTTGCTAATATGAAGCACAAATGCTTGGCATATACAACACAGGCTTTCTACTACAAGGAGAGGGAGTGGTCATCTTAAGCATTCATGCTGCTCTATCCTATGGATGCTGGAGGCCAATATGGAATTAAAAAAAATAATCAACTGGTAACTTTTTTTTAAAGAATTTACTAAAGTGTATGACCATCTACCGTAAGTCCAATTAACAGTGCCACTCATAATGCTTGTAAAAGTCGGGCCTAGCACCACACTGGAAATCTAGGACTTGGGGCAGGTAGGTTTAAAAAATGAAACAAAAGTTAACCTGAGGATGTTCTTGGACAGTGATTGTCAGACAAGTTTTTGCTAAAGTATGGCAAAATATTTTTTTTATTTATTGAAAAAAATTAAAGAGCCCTTTCTATAGCAACACCAATTTTCTCAATATTCCAAGATAAGTAGCCTCTGGATGACATAAATGACAAGCTGTTGAGTGTCTGCCTGAACCCAGTATATACTGCTGAATGAGTAATCCTATATCTGCTACAAGACAAACCTTTGTCCCAATCAGTTTTATTTTTCTCTATTATTTAGCTGAAGTGAATGAATTATACTGTACATACAGGAACTCCCTATTTAAAAATGGGATGATTTCCTGGAGACTCAGCTCACTAAAATGAAAACCATTTTTAAATGTACAAACTAAGGCTTTCCTGCATGGATATCTGACAAACTATATAGGATTAGCTCTAGATATTTTTTTCCAACAGAAATCTGGAGATCATGTTACTATTTCTGTGGAGGCACAGATAGAAAGATGATCCAGCTAAGGAAGGTGATAAGATTTCTGCAGGACCAGCAGCAGCAAGTAAAACTCAACAGAGCAACTTTGGCTTAAAATCAATCAATCAATAATAAGAAAAATAATAAAAAAAATCAGGTTAAGCTGGTGCAAGTTCTCTCAAAGAGGTATTTTAAAGGGCTTAACCTTGCAGCAAGAGAGATCCAGGATCTACATCCCCTTCTCCCCAACCACTTGCCTTTTTTTCTTTTTAAAGAGTTACCACCTTCATTGCACAGGACTCAAAAACCATTCTCATAAGGTTAACTATCATAAATAATATGAAAACTATGTGCAACAAATACATCATATTTCAAAAAAAAATATATAAGAAAGTTACACCAAATTAAAAAGTAGCTTCGTGAATGAAGGTACTGCTCTAAGTGCACTTTCCCGGCAAGTGCAGCTAGTGCCTTGGTGCTGGATATGAAAGAAAACACCAAAAACCAGAGCGCGAGCCAGAGTTAAAAACGCTGGTCCAGTTTTAACCAGTCAAAACTGGACTGAGCAGAGACTAAATGATTTCTCAGTAAAGTCCCCTTAGGGAGTCCAAATGATGCTTCTTTATCCAGATTGTATGTCCTTGAAGAGATTGTAAACAATCTTTAAGACAGCTCCTTCCTTAAATGTCCCTCTGATTGACAAAACAAAGTTAGATTTATATTTTAAAAACAAGAAATCAAATTAAAACCAGAAGAAAAAAAAAAGAAAACACAGTGAGCTTGTTGGAGTCCATAGGAACCGGTCCGGAAGAGCTCAGAAAATGTGTTCAGATTTTTCTCCTGTTTTTAGTTGAAACTATACCAGAGGATGGACTGGGTGGCAGTTAGGGTTGGGAAGGTAATAAAGCAAGAGAACATGAGGGATGTGGAACTTGGCTCTGTGGGCATTTCATGTGTTTGCTTCATCGTCTGTGTCTTCTATTAATACTTTGGTGTCATGAATCTTTGACCTGAGAAAACAGGAAATTAAACTTTGATTAACAATTTATCAATCAATCAATCTTTATTTGGTCATAGATCAGCAGTTAAAACACAAGTCACAATTAATTAGGATAAAAGAGGAAAAATATAGTTGTTCTAAAATATCTAAAAAGGTTTAATCTGTTTTTATTTCCCTGACCACAGCTAAGTACTGTTGTGTAATTTGTACAGTAAGCAATAGTATTTCCATTAAACCTTTTTAGATATTTTAGAACAATTAAATTTTAATTATTTATTTATCCTAGCACCATAAATAGTTAACCCCACTTACTATTATTACTTGCATCATCTACCCCCTGACCCAAACATTTGGGGAAAGCACAATCTAAGCTAAAGAATTTTGGCTAGGAATATTAATATTTATTGAACTGAATAAATATTATATATCAACAGCTCCCTCTGCTGAATACTTGCTAGTATGAAAGGAACCCAGAAAACAAAGCAATTCTACTGAAATGGGCATTCATTGTAAAATCATTATTGATACAGAATAAGCAAAATTATCAATTAGACACTATGTTAAACAGTGATGCTCTATGATCAGAATATATTTTGCCCTGTTAAAAGCTTCCTGCCATAATAGCTTTATTTTCTAAACAATTTCAAATTAAAAAAAATCAAATAAAACCCAATACGGAGTCTGTTGGTATAGTGCAGTGACCTCTTTGTTTCCAATAATTATTCTAGTAGAAAACAAAGCAGAGAAAGCATAGAGAGCATGGCTTCTGGAATTCTTTCCAATCCCATTATAGCTGTAGCCATAAGACAAATCTGTATTTATTTCTATGTAGCAAGGCAATATACTGAATGTTCATGTGTGTGTTTCTGTCTTTATGCTATGTTTGCATTTCTATATGTGCATTGGGAAGCACAGGGCAAGTTGCATATGTTCTAATCGGGGTCATGTGATCCAAAAGTTAGGGAGCTTAGACTGGAGGAACTAACTAGTTTCTAAAGTGTTAATGGCCACCTGCCCTCTTGTAGGGATATAGTCAAGAAGTTTTTTAATGAAATGTTTTTCTTCACAGCCTCAGGTCAAATGTCAATACAGTAAGCTTTGTTACATCCTTTATTATAAATAAAAGTCATATTTTTGAGAAAGCTGTTTTTTAGATTTATTTTTAGATTATTTTTCAAAAACTCACCTTTCTCCTTTATTTTGGTCATTTAATTTTTACCACACAAATGGTACCACTCAATGCACGGTCTTTCACGTTGTTTTGAAAAATGTGGAAATTGAATTGTCTTTTTAAAATACTTTTACATATATTGTTGGATTTCAGCTATCTTTATTAGAATATGCATTTTTATAAAGTTTCTCTTGGTTTTAATCTTGAATTTTTATTTAGCAATTATAAACAAAGTTATAAACATAAACTTTTTTTATTCTTATGAACCTCTTTCAAATTTGCCCCCTTTTTTGGTTGTCCTTTATTTTATTTTATTTTTTGAAGAAAATATGGTCAACATAAATATCAGCCACTTTTAGACTTGACCTTTAATTTTTCCAGCTTTTTCCCTCATAGCAAATTTGGTCCTATTTATTTTCATTTTCAGAGAGTTTGTCTGCTGTTATACAGAGTTGTGAGGTTAATTTCTTTCTAACATTCTGTTAGAAAGAATCAAAATGGCAGGCTTGTAAAGCTCATCTTTCCCTGTCACCATGAAGAAAAGAAAAAAAATGTATGAGCAAATTTGAGAAAATTAAATAAAATGACATTTTGCTTTTGTTGTGTGTATAGGTTTATGTGAGAGCATTTAAATCTATATATTAATCAGGATCCAAAATCAGGAGATGAATAGGTATTTTTTGGCTTGCAAAGTAATCTTTAGATTCTAGAATCTGATTAGATTCTAGTTTGCATACAAAAGCTGCAGGGTTCAGGATCATTCTAATCTGGAAGGGGAAAAAATTCTGCTAGAATGAGAAAAAAAAATCTGCTAGATGCTATGAACACATGAGCTTGAGCAAGGAGCAAGAGAACTGAAAAAGTAATGAGCTTTTAGAGACCCAAGAAGGAATGAGAATAATGACTTGAGAATGGATTGGGGGAAAATGGACAAGGAAGGAAAGAGAAAAATTGAAATGAGTGAAACTAGAATGACTTCAGGAAGATACAAGTTCTTATATGAAAAAAAATAATATAAAATGTATTAATAGAAGGAATTAAAGAGGATGTGGAAGCTTCCTGGAGAGTAAAAACAATTGTGTTATAAACTGCTATATAAATACGAAGGCAAATAGGGAGTACAAAAAAGCAGGAGAGCTAGTCAAGTAACAGGGTTCTTAAATGTTCCAAGCTCATGGGGGCCATTCCAATTTCTGAGGGGAGAATACTTCATAAGGCAGGGGCTAAAGCAGAGAAAGCTTATCTTTTAATTCCCGCCAGTCGACCCTCTTTGGCTGATGGGATCTGCAGCATGCCCAATCTGTTGGATTAATTTGGACAGACAGAAACTCTTCTGACAAGGCAATCCCTCAGGTAACCTGGTCCCAAGCCATGTAGGCTTTAAAGATGACAACCAGCATCTTGAACTGCACCCAGAAACATACTGGCAGCAAGTGCAGCTCACTGAGTAGTGATGTTACATGCATAGTATAGCCAGCACCATTTATTAGCTGTGCAGCTGAATTTTGCACCAACTAAAGTTTTGGAATACTCTTCAATTACAGCCCAATGTGGAGTATGTTGCAATAATCTATGTGAAAGGTCACAAGGGCATGGGTGTAGGGTAAAAATAATCAAACAATACAAGTAGTCCTTGATTTATGACAATTCAGACCAGAACCTTCACTGCTTAATATGTACTTGTGAAGTGAGTTATCACATAATCACACCTGGATTTATGACCTTTTCTGCCACAGTCATTAAGCAAATCATAGAGTGGTTAAGTGAATTGTTTATTGACTTTGCTTGATAGAAACTGAGTGGGAAGGTCGCAAATTGCAATCATGGGACCTGGGAGGCTGCTACTGTTGTAAATATATGCCAGTTGCCAAGCACCAGAATTGCAATCACGTGATTACGGGGCTGCTGTGATAGTCGTAAATTACTTTTTTCAGTTTTGTCGTAACTTTGAATGGTTGCTAAATGAATGGTCATAAATCAAGGATTACCTGTACCACTTCAAAAAAAACCACAGCCAAGCACTGGAACTAAAGCCATCATTAAAAGTAATAAAACATGCAGGACTCACACCCATGGTAACCCATGCTTGGGGGAAAAGCCAGACTTTTAGAACCCTCTGAACATGGTCAGGGTGGGGGCAAGATCTGTCTTGTCAGGGTGAACAGTGTTCCATAGGGCAGGAACTGTCCTGCTTCCTAGGTCGCATCAGATGACACTGAAAGAGCTATGATTTCAAAAGAGTCTTAAAGAGCAATTCATATAGGACTAAAAAAGAAATATTCCCAGTCTCAAGGGATTCCAAAAATCCACAGCCCAAGTTTAAGCCTGTTCCTACTCAGTGTTGTCTGGCAAGTCTGATATATAATTTTGTATCATCTGGATACTTGATGATGCTTGAATCCAAATTTATTCAGCAAGCTCATGAAGATGTTAAAGAGAAGAGGTAGTAGCCCAGATTCCAACAAGTTCAGGTCTGATTGCTCCCCTACTGAATCCAACCACAGAGAAAGAAGGAAAAGCATTGCAGCATTATACCCTGCATTCCAAATTCCCACAAACAGGCTAGAAGGATACTCAGGTTGATGGGATTGAAAGCTATTGAAAGATCAAGAATCCCAGAACAGTTGCTCTACCACCATCCCAAATTCACAACAAGTCAACCACAAATGATATCAATGCTGTCTCCATACTAGGTCTTGTCCTGAAATCTGACTGAAAGGAGTCCAGATAATCAGTTTCTTTCCTTTTCATCTTCCATGAAAAGAAAAGATTGGAAACATGATTAAAATTGTCCAGTATACCTGGATCCAATGAATGTTTTTTGAGGAATGGGTGCACCACTGCCTCCTTCGATTATAGCATGGATCCAACTACCTGTCACCTCTCAAGAAGCCTTCACCAACTGGGAGTGATCTTGCATAGTAGATAAAAAAAATGAGTAATAAATGATAACAAGACTAAGGTAAAAAGCAAGAAAAAAATCAAAGAAGTACTTTGAATTTTAGATGAGCTTTAAGCAACTTAAGAGGATTTGCTGCAGCATAATTATATGGCACGTGCACTGTATTCCTTTACATTTCATAAATTATGCTGTGCGGAATTGGGAGGTTAAGAGATCTTACAATTTGAGGACAGAGGAAAAGTTGGATACTGGCTAGAATTTAAAACCAAAAGTTGTTTATTACTTTCTCAAATAATTATTTCAATCAAGAACCAATTAAAACTAGTAACAAAACAAATGAATTCAAAATTCTCCTTGAGAAATATGTGATAAAACTACAAGAAGTGGTATCAAAAGCTAAATCTCCAGAGGATAGAATAATAAGCATTACACTAAAATTATTTGGATAGGACTGCAGCAAATGTAGCATTAATGGAAGCTGAGATGGGAAAACTGACAATAAGAAAGGATGGCAAAATTCTTCATCCCTGTATGTCACAGCTTCACAAAGATAGTATGTAATAATACCATATTATCTTTCTTACCTAAGCACATATGATTAAAAACAGTGGCAACTTCCATATTTTGTAACAGGAGGATGTTGTTGTGAATGAAATGCATAACAGGAAAGCAATTATGCATTCTCTTACCCAGCTGCTGTAATTCAAGTAATCTGAGAGATATTATGTGGCTCCCAAGTTACCATGGCTATAAAAATATGTATTAAATTTAATGCTGTAAACTGCCTTTGATGTATTAGAATAAAAAGGTTTTTTATTGAAGTGATTTCAAAGTATTCCTAGTTGGGTTTTTAAAGATGACTGTATTTGATCTTTATTGAAATGCAGAAAGCAATTTATGGCTGTAGGAAAGGACTGCGGTCAGAAATGAATACAAGGTCATAACACAGATAATTATCTGGACATAAAACATGGCTGTTCAATTAGTCTCTAGGTGAAATTATGTTATATACAACTTCTCTGAACAGAGAACAGGGAGGCAGAAGTTGTTGAGATAAGAATTGCAACCTAATGCAACAAAAAAATATGATGTAGTACTTTAAAATTTCCCCCCAAGCAGAGCAAAAGCATATTGTGCTGACACTGGTGCTATTGTAGAATATACCTGTAAGAAGAGCTGTTTCTCTGATGATGATGACATTTAAAATGTTTAGCATCACCATCTTTTCTTTCTATTCATACTATTGTTTTTATTCTTCTATTTCTATTTCTGTTTCTATTTCTATTTCTATATGTATGTATCTATGTATGTATGTATGCTAATCCAGCACAAAATGGTGGAAAAAGGGAAAACACAACAATGAACATGACCTGAGTACAGCTTGCCTAGAGTTAAACACACATTTACTTAGAGAAGGAACTGTCCCTAGCTTTTATAAATCTGATAGCATATCCAATTGATATTTGAGTATATATAATAATAATCCTATAACAATCCTATAACAATCCTATCTTTCATCCACAAGACAGCAAGCTATTGGAGGACATGACTGAAGATCAATTGGGGAATATCTTTTAGCTAGCTCGGCATCTAGTCAGTATGTCCAGGCTACCAGTGATGGCAGTAGGAACAATGGAAGATGGTAGCTTCAACAGATTATCAGAAGACTGAGTTACACTTTGAATCTATGCAAAAGGTTATGACCTCAACCAAAAGATTTATGCAAGGTGCTTTGTTATAAGAGTTATAGCCCTGAGGGAGTTGGAATCACAGCAACTGCTTAATACTTCCCCTGGGTGTCATGCAGCTAGATTCATCACTCATTAGTAGTGAGTCACACCAACTGTTATGCATGTAAAATTATGCAGATTTGGTGTACAGACTTCAGCTCAATATACTTGGAGATATTAAAACAATCTTAATTCCACGCTACGTAAACATGCTTTATTTACATGAATAAAATCTGTATGCAACAGTTTTTACGATACACAGAGCAGGGCAATAGATTTATACTAGAATTGGGTTTGGACAAAATATGGATAACTACTGCATATAACTTGGTAAATTATATTATCCTCTTTGTACCAGGCATCTTAATAATTGAATCTAATTAGATGCTGAATGATCATAAGAATGTAAGAGGACAAGAACTATGTCACATCCTTATCACAAATTCTAGCCTTCCTACAGTTAAGAAAGTTTGGTACATTCTGCTCTTGTCAATAGGCACTGAATTAGTATCTAAAATAATGTCAACTTCACTTAGTAACTTAATGTAACTCTAAGTGTCTTTACATCAACCACAGATTTCTTCTCCTTGACAGAATGCCTTCAGCCCTGAATGAAGAAACAACTGCCTATGAATAAAGTTCAATCTACCAAAAAAATTCCATTTCTTGGAACCTGTAGGGCTCCAAGAAAAATGTGGCCTTCCTATGTCTGTAATCGAGACACAATTACTTCAAAGAATAGATAGCACCTTGACATAATACATTTTCAAGGTTGATGTTCCTCATCTTCCAAAATGGTGACTTTCTCCTGGCAAATACTGCACAGAGGGTGAGAATGAACCATCCCAACAAAAGAATAGCATCTTTTGAGTAGAGGAAAGATTGATAAAAGGCAGCACAATACAAGATTTAGAGAAAAAGATTTAAGACTCTCTGAAACACCAACATCTAATGCCAACAATCTTGTGGGTAAGGGGTATGCCTACATGACAAAAAATCCAGTTTATCAGATTTATCTCCAGTGATATTTAACTTCTGGCAACATGAATTAATTAAATTAAATTAAATTATCACATATTGTATATTAATTAAAATGCATTAAGAAAATGCATCTATACATGTTGTATATAGTATGTTTAAATGTGTTATGTATGTGTATACTTTGAGAGCAAGCAACTAAATTTCATTTTTAATGTGCCATTGTGCCCACAGTAAAAAATGACAATAAAGGTTATCTATCTATCTATCTATCTATCTATCTATCTATCTATCTATCTATCTATCTATCTATCTATCTATCTATCTATCTATCTATCTAATTCTTAACCTTAGGAAAGTTGGGTATCAGAAAGCAATGTAAACTAGCTTCATGTGTGGTGGAATGTAAAAGAAAAAAATGGCCAGCTTTCTTTTACTTCTCCCATATTAGATTTATTTATTAAGTCTAATTTAGCCTCTCCCAATTTTATGCCCTTCAGAAAATTCAGCACTCTCTTTGGTCATTCCAGGTAGGAATTCTGGAACTTGCAGTCCCACGAATATCAGAAGGGTAACACATGGAGAACAGCTCTTCTATTCAAATAAGAAACTCATTGGGCTATTGTATGACACATACTGTGAAGCAAGATGTGGTCTGTGCAAGGACACACTGTGGCTACGCTTCCAAACTCTGTTTTTCTGGCGGTTTCGGACACCATCTTCCTGGTCCATCATCTGTTCAAGCAGGGTCTGATCATCTGCATTCAGCGGTGCCACTGAAATGTCCCGGACGGCTCGGAACTCACCACAGTTATTCAGATGCTCATTCTCTAATCGGAAGAAATTCCACACAAACCGCCTACAAAGTGGAGGATAATAAGCAACTAAACCAAAGATTTGAAGCTATTAACATAGACTAAGACTAATGCATAAATGTATTTTACAAGGAAAATCAATTTTCCCCTTCTCCCCAAAGGAATGACAAAGAAGAAAACTAAGGCCAGAGAACATTTGCAATAATTTTCCAACTGACTAATTAATAGCATATGTAAATTGCTTGACAGCCTTTTAAAAAATTATTATTATTATTATTATTAGCCATCTAGCTCACCATGGGGCTACTCTAGGCGGCTCACAACCATAAAAAACAAAGAAATAAAAAGGAAGTGTAAACAAAGCGAAAGTAAAATAATAGAATAAAAAAAACAAGAAAAAAAACAAGAAAATACATCAATATAACTAGCAAAAAAGTAACTCATGTAAATGTAACAGGTCAAATACGAGAGGAAAAAAGATCTAAATTTCAGTATAATGTGAGTATTCATTGGATATTGAAGCCCAGTCCCTTTACTCAAATATTAAAACTAGGTATGATCCCCAACAGATAAACCCAAATTCTCAAACTGTGGTAAAATGCAAATTACATTTTCATAGATATTTTATAACCCCTGCTAAAAAATAATATGGAATTGTATTAATTAGCTTCTGGGATATTTCTAATAGTTATAAACGTGGAAGTTTCAAATCCTGATTGCTAGAGACCATATCCAGTTTCTGGCTATGCAGCTTCTGTTTACATTTTTAAATGCTGCATAATACTTTTTTTGAATGCTGCAAGTATTGTTCATCTGTGTGTGCTGATTTACAGATATAGAGAGAGAATAAAACATTTTTTATTATAGGAGATAAATGCAGTCATAATTATTTGCAAATAGGCCTTCCAAAGCTGAGTAATTATGCTGTTAGTGCAGTGCATCTTACCGGAAAACCTCTAGTGGTGCAAATACAGTAGCAATGATGTCACCAGCAAAAGGGTGAATTTCCATGGTAGTCAGAGAAATCTGGATAGTCCACGCAAAACGCAGAATCACATCCTCTACAATGGCACAGTAGTAATAGGCCTGTTAAACAGACAAAATATCCAACTGTAATATCAAGGAATAATATCCACCAAATCAACCTCCAAATAAATATCTACAAATAGAGATATCCAGTTCTTCATTTGCAAATTCTACCTTTGCAGTCAATCGGTCATTATCTTTTATATGGATATAAATACAGTATCACAGGAGGTGAGGTAAATTTCTAGCTGTTGACTTGGTTGAAGGATAAACATTACACTAACTAAAAGGGCAGCAACAGTTTCATTTCTGATAGTTTGCCAGTAAATAAATTTGATAATCTTTTCTTAACACAGGTAGTCTTTGACTTACAACCACAACTAAACCCAAAATTTCCATTGCTAAGCAAGATAGTGGGTTAAGTGAGTTTTGCCCCATTTTATGATCTTTCTTGCTACAGTTGTTGTCCCTGCAATTGTTAAGCTAGTAACATGTTTGTTAAGTGAATCTTGGTTCCCCACTGACTTTGCTGGTCAAAAGATCGCAAAAGGTAATCACATGACTCTGGGCCACTGCAACCGTCATAAATATGACTCAATTGCCAAGCGTCTGAATTTTGATCACATGACTGTAGGAATGCTGCAATAGTCATAAGTGTGAAAATGGTTATAAGTCATTTTTAAAGTACTGTTGTAATTTCAAATGGTCACTAAATGAATGGTTATAAGTCAAGGATTATCTGTATCCTGTTGTCAAGAAACTATAGACCTTTCAAACCATAACATATCATAACTTACTTGTACTGTATAATCTACTACAGTACTTGCAATAAAAATCTATTAACCAAAGACGACAATCATTTTATTTTTTTGGTTCTATTGTGCGTTCTTCTGCTGGACAGTAATATAACTGTAAGAAATACAGTATACTTTCATTTTATGTTGGTACCTAACATAAACATCTTGATGCTGTCTCTTGCTCCTAAAGGTTTCTACATATTATACATCCTTTTTTGCCAAACTACAACTTAACCAATTATTAGATTCCAGACATGCTCCCATCAGTTCAAACAAACCTAGGATCATCTCCAGAGCACCAGGTTATTGCTTTATACCGCTAAGAAGTGCGGATGGGAGGAGATGACGAGGGAAAATGTCTGCATGTTTGAGAGACAGAAACAGAGAAAATGAAAGAGGAAATAAATAGCTGCTAAGGTGACGGAAGAAAAATTGAAACAAATCTCTTTCTGAACTAATTCTTCATGTGGATATCTACTTATTTTTGATCCTCCAACTATAGTTCAGTTTAATTAGTTCTCTTTCAAAACACATTTTTAAAGATAGTGTCTATCTACAATCTAGATAATGCTTAGTTTAAACACAAATTATTAGCAGAAGCCTTCTTCAGCATGCACACTTAACAGTTGCAGTCTCCCATAAGTATTTCCAAATAAACACTGTCCATATACACACTTTTTGCGGGTATACAATCTCTTCCCGGAGGAAAGTATTTTCACCAGCGTTCTTGTCAAAAAGACCCCAGTCCATCTTCAAGTCCCAGATAAGAGTATAGCAGGAACTAATGAAGTAGAAGACAATCCACAAATAGAAGAATACTTGGTAGTCACTGTGTTTTTGAACTACAAGAAAGAAAAACAATAATGTTAAATAAGGCTATATAGTACACACCTCACTCCATAAAATGGAATTCAGTTAATCATGTCTCAAATTCCTTTTGGCAGCATATGGTATTTTATATAAGTAGCGCCCCCTATAACACTACATTTATAGAAATACTAGTATCTGCTTTCCACATCTATAAAAAGCCTTGGTTATTCACATCTGAATAACCACTTAGAATCTTATGAAAGTATAGTTGGTTAAAAGGAAGTTATCTTTACATGCTACAGGGAAAGATTACCAATGGCATTCTGCACCCCACTCCACAAAGGTCATAAACACTCATCTTTGTACTGGTGTGAAGATGTATGTTTATTTTTCTTTAAAGGATTGAGGTTACTAAGAGTTTGAGTATAGCTCTGCAATTCAGTGTTGTGTTCAAATATTTTAAATAGCTACTCCTCCTAAGTATGCATATTATTTGACTGTCTCAACTTTGTGCTCAACAGGCTGCTCTGTATATGTATGTGTGTGTTTAATTACAAGATGGTGGGGCTATATATGTAAGGATCCCATGACAAGTATAAGCACAAACTTGTATAGAATAAATAAAGCAATGAATACATAATGACCAATTAAAGAGTTTAAAATTACATGCAGATCATATTTTTAAGGTGGCAAGAAGAAAGCAACTACTCTAAAAAAAAAAACTTTATTGCTTATCAACACTTTGAGAAAGATCATGGGAATAAGCCAGAAGGTTATTGGAAGAGTGTTCTGTGGGTGGCTGAGACTAAAATAGCACTTTTGAGCTTGAATAAACAAAAAAAATGTTACGTTTAGGGAAAGGCATTCCAGCAAAATAATCTTATTCCATCTGTGAAACGTTGTGATGGCAGAATTGTGGTTTGGGCTTGCTTTACTATCTCTGGACCAGGACAGCTTGCCATCATTAATTTCTGAATCTTGCTAGCAAATTCTACAGAAATTTTAGGATATCTGTTTGTAAACTGAAGCTAAAGAGAAAGTAGATCACAACTCAAAACACACAAGTCCTGTGACCAAAGTACAGTTAAAACAGAAGAAAATTAATGTTTTAGAACAGCCAAGTCAAAGTCCTGATATAAATCTTAAGAAATGTTGTGAAAGGACAAAGTGGGTAATTCAAGGAAGCTCACCAACCTCCCTCAGTTGATGCTGATCTTTAAGGAGGAATGGGCTGAAATTCCTTCAAGCTGATGTGTAGGAGTGATCAATAGGTACCAGAAACATAGAAGAATTCTTTATTGGCCAAGTGTGATTGGACACACAAGGAATTTGTGTCTGGTGCGTAAGCTCTCAGTGTACACACAAACAACAGGTGATAAATCATGATCATAATCAGCATAAAAATACATTCATCATAAATCATAAGATACAACACTTAGTCATAGCATCCTATGATAGTTATAGGATACTAAAGAAGCAAACAACACAAATCATACTAGTATACTAAATAAAATGATTAATATAAATCTTAAGATACAAGCAACAATGTTAGAGTCATAAGAAGATAAGGAGATAGGTAATAGAAAAGATGAGAATAATAGTAATACAGCCTTACTAGGTAGTTTGACAGGGTTGTAGGAATTAGTTGTTTAGCAGTGTGGGGGGAACTGTCCTTGTGTCTAGTTATTCTGGCGAGCAATGCTCTATAGCAGGGGTGTCAAATTGCCGGCCTGCGGGCCGGACACATCATGACAAAACCATGCCCACCCCATTACCGGCAATGGGGAAAAAGCTCCGATACATCGCACAACATCACATGACGTCGCAAGTTTGACATGTCTGCTCTATAGCGTCATCTCGAGGGAAGACGTTTAAACAGTTTATGTCCAGGATGTGAGGGGTCTGTAGATATTTCCACAGCCCTCTTTCTTACTCTAGTATACAGGTCCTGAATGGAAGGCAGGCTGATAGCAATTGTTTTTTCTGCAGTTCAACTATCCGTTGAAGTCTGTGTCTGTCTTGTTTGGTTGCAGTGTCAAACCAGACAGTTCAATTGCAGTCATTATACTGCTCAAAGGGGAACACCAGTTAATGAAAGCAAAGGTTCACATATTTTTGCCATATGCAAATATCTAGTTTTGGATTATCTTCCTCAATAAATAAAGGAACAAGTATAATGTTTTTGACTCATTAATTTAAATAGATTCTCTTTAACTACTTTTAGAACTTGTGTGGAAAACAGACCACATTTTAGGTCACTATTTTGCAGAAATATTAAAAAAAAGGATCCAAAAACATTTAAGTAACTAAACATGAATTCTGGTTTGTTTTTTTCTTGTACTCTAAGAAAAATCACCGAGTGCCAGTATAGTGAAAGAGCTGGGATTAGGATCAGAAAGCTCCAGGTTCCAGTCTAGCTTCAGTATTCTAAATTACTTTGTTTCTGATATTATCCCTTAGGGAATCCACCTCAGAGTTGTTGCTGTACAGAAAAAAAAATGAAGAGGGAGTTCTATGTGTGCTGCTTTAAACTTTAGTGAAAAGATGAGCAATCTAATAAAATATGCAAATAAATAGCCATGGCTCACAGTTCTAGCTAGCTAGGAATGAAACAAAGCTCCTTATTTGTGCATAATACTAAGTAAATGACAAGAACCATCTGGGTTTGTTCAGCAATTCCTACTGGTAGGAAACACTAACTGGAATAGTTCAGCAGTACACATGACCCACAAGCCATCCACACATAAGCCAGAATTCCAGAAAATTATTATAATGTGCTCTTATTATAATTAATGTTTAATTAAGGAAGCTTTTTCTGCCTAAATTAAGAACATTTTTCAACTAAGCTTATTTGATAAATATCAAACTGCCCCATTCTGTGAAGAAATGATCACATTTTCTTTAAGCTTTCACTTATAGTTATTAAATAATGAATAATAATTAAAGAGACCTTAAGGTGGTTGTATTGCTGATTGAATCTGTGTGCTTTTTATAAACATTTTTTTAATATGAATGCATGCATAATTTTTTGCTGCATGCTGCCCAGATTCACTTCTTGTGAGATGGGCAGCCATATAAATTTGATAAATTAATTAAATAAATAAATAAATTTTCTTTTGTTCTTTCATTTTATGGAGTAGGGTTGGGCTAAGGAAGAAATAATCCCAAAACAGCAACATTGGAAACAACAAAAGGAAAACAAAACATGGATAATCTCAAAATTATTTTGTAAAAATATTCTGTAAGAATATTTTAAAAAAGGAAAGTATGTAAGATTTCACAAGAGATGCAAGCTCTGATTTTTAGAATGAAGCATTTTGATAAACTCTATTTAACGTGGCTTTTGATTGTTTGGTAAACTTATGAAACAATATTGGTTTGTTTGTTTCATTTATTTCCCAGCTATCTTGCCAGGGGTCCACTCCAGGTGGCTTACAATAATAAAAAGGAAGAAAATGAAAGGCATGTAAACAAAAGTAAAATAGTAGAACAATAAAATAAATATAATATATGAATAAATAAAATAAAATAAACAATGAAAATGTACACAATAAGTCAATACGATATCCAAAAAGATGGGCAGGTGGATAGCAGAGCAACGCGGGGGGGGGGGAGGTGGAGTCTGCCATCAATCCAATAGCCACCTGCAGCATGGACCTCTCCTATTTGGTCCCTAGGCCAACCAGAAGAGCCAAATCTTTAGGCTCTTGCGGAAAGATAGGAGGACTGGGGCAGATCTTAACTTAGAGAGTAAAATATATGGAAAACCTGATTTAAATAATCATACCCTTAGAATGAAATACTTTATCTGACGACAAAGTATTTATCTGAGACAGCCAGATACTTTCCAAGAATAGCTTGATAATAAGAAATCGTGAAATACGTTAAGCTCTTAGAAAAAATATTGCATAACTGCAGATCACTTTTGTTTTCTAACCAATAAGGATGTCATTAAATTTTTCTCCAGTAGATGGAAATGGATGCTTTTACATACAAAACATGGAATTCAATGTTGCATGCAAAAAAAATCAACTAAATAATAAGAATGTCATCATTCCACTTAGCAGCTATCTACCAGGGTATTTTACAACCAACAGTGAATAAAGATGCTATCCCTGGGAGAAAGGGGGAGCTTGATCCTTTTTTTTTTTAAAGAATAAATTCATGAAAATCATTCAGACTTAGTCAGGCTTATCTTAAATTCTACATATAGTGTACTAAATTAATGCAGTATACTTTTTACGCTAATATATATATTAAATCTGGATACAACATTGTTTCATCTAATTTTTACAAATGTATTTATATTTTATACAGTAAAATATGGATTTTGGGTGCATATTTTCCTATAATCAGACAAAATTGAATAGAGTCGCTTGACCAGGAGATAGGTGGCATATAAATTTAAATCTTTTTTTTAATAAAAAAAGTAAATAAATAACCTCAAAATATAGGTACTAATTAACTAAGTTTGTAAACTCAGGACCAAGTCAAGGGTGGTTAAAAGGTTCTTTGCTCTAGCCAAAGGGGGAAACAGCAGTCACTTTTTATAAAAATAGGTGATAGTTAAGTTGATAAAGATGCAGAAGAATATGTCAACAAAGGCATTCAAATACTGCTGAAATAAGGAAGTCCAATAAAAAAATGTATATAGGGAGGAGATTTTTCTCTCAGAGCTTTAATTGCTAGGCTCTTCACAAAAATTCTGCCACACAAATGCCAGTCTTTAAACATATTGCTCCCTCTAAGTGAACATGTAAACATTGAATAAATGAATATTCAAGTCCATTTTGTAGAACACATAGGATAAATATTTTAAAATTCAGTTAATATCAGCTGAAAAAAATTAAATCATTATTTTGCATCAATGGTTTTTGATTACAATAAAGTCCAGTTAAAAACAGGGTCTGCAATTTTATACAATCTAAGTCACATTTTGTTTGAATGGAGTGCACGGGATTATACCTAAAAACTGGATGGGAAAGGAAAAAGAAATGTGTCAGGACAAAAAACTTAATGTATTTACTCATCC